TTTTCTGAAAACTATTTTGGGAATAAGAAGAAAAATGTATTCTCCGTTATATCCTGGACCTACACATTTTCTCATTATGTACAAATCTCTATGGTGTAAATAGAAAATAAATAAAATATTGCATTACAGAAAAGAATTTATTCTTCGGACCTGGACATTGATTCTGATCCCCCAAATATCATGAATGTAGGTACTTTGCTTAAAAGCGCTTCTCTCAATTAACTGTACCACAAACTTCGAAGAATTATGGTCTAGATTTTCCACATCTTAAATACAATGACCCCTTGAAGCATTACCAATATCACCTTAAGGTTTTTATGCACAGACAAGCAACCGACTTAATCTGAGCACTTCGTAAAGTCATAGGGTTATTGGTACTTATGGCAGATAGCTAGTTTGTTCGCAACTAGACTTAAACCACATGGGTAGTATTTGGAAGCAGCTCTGGTCTGTTACTCTGGTTTAAACTTTTCTTAATCTGAGTTTTTTTTTTTTTTTTATTTAATTTTTTTTCCCAATAATGAGATATGATTAAAAGCCTTTTGATAAATATAGATTTCATTGTGACCCTTACAGATTCTTTTAAGAGTTCCATGTGGGTTTTCAATTAAGGAATCAGAGATATTGGTGTATGCTGAGGCTTGCATTTTCTCATTTGATTAATCATGGATGGTTTTTCTCAAGTGAAGAACTTGCTGAATTTTATTAATCTGTAGCATCTTTGAATCTTTTGCGTTCGCAGGTTATTGTATCTCGGATGAGATACATATCATCACAGACAGAGCGTTCCGTTCGTTTCGTTGGTCTTTCGACTGCTTTGGCTAATGCACAGTAAGTTTTATCAGCCAATTTGAGTATCCTTCCATTTTGCGTTATTATTTTTCATAACGGGACTCCTCTGGTTGATTCAGTGATTTGGCTGATTGGCTTGGCGTTGAAGAGAACGGTCTGTTCAATTTCAAGCCTAGTGTTCGGCCGGTTCCTCTGGAAGTTCACATCCAGGTAACTTACTCCCCTAAGTATTCTGTGTATTTTTTACTGAAGAACTTGCATACACGCAATATACTGATTCATTTTTTAATCCATAGTGTACAGTCTAAGAGCACCCTAAGGAAAGAATCAATAGGCCAATCCATGGCGTCCTAATAATTCCTTAATTAGTCCATGGCAAATTTTTAATGATACTACTACTCAAGCGAACATATATATCAACGATGCCAAGGTTGTTGCACAATTTGTTCATCCCTACTTCATTCAACTTTTCAAGGCTATTGTGAGTATGCCCTTGTCATGAACTAAGTGGCAATATATTTCAATTTTTGGTCCATTCATGAGAAATGGGATTTGAATTGCAGCTTTTGGTTTCTACACAAAAGCTTTGCCAGGAGAGACAACTTCCTTTAGTAACTAGTGTATCCATAACATGTCATACACCGAATCAGCCATAGACCTATCTGCTGGATCAGCCACTGTTGAGAAACAACATTTTGTTTCTTACTTGTCCATGAGTTTAAATTACCTTCTACAAAGATACAACATCCTTAAGCTGACTATGTATCATCTCAAGCATAGTCATCGTCAGAGTATGATTCAATCAACCGGTAAACCACTGCTTTTGAATGACATATTTCACAAATGACAATACTCTTCCAGGAGCCCCCTTTTAGTTAGCACAACATTTCCTCATTAGTAGGAGCATACACAAAGTGAGTAGCAACAGAGGTGCATAAGTGATGTCAGGACGTGTTATCATAACATAAGAGCAATTTATATATTTATTAGTAAAAAAATAATAAGTGGACAAAATACAGAAAAAAAGAGGGGGAGTGGACCAACATAAAAAGCACGTATTCCTTGAATACGTTTTCTGTATAATTTTATTGAAAAACGTATTCACTGAATATGTTTTTCACATTTTTTTTACAAAGGAAAACGTATTCACAAAATACGTTTTCCAAATAATTTTTTCAAAAGCCGTATTCAAGGAATACGGGCTTTTGATTCTTTTCCACCTCTTTTTTCTTTTTTTTTGTCCACCACTTTTTTTTTTTTTTTTTCCGTAAAAAATTCTCATAAGATAACTCATCTTTCCTACAAGTCTGTTACCACCGGATCCTGGAATAGTGTCTGTTTCTTTTTTAAACTGCTTATTAGGGGTCATGGGGGTAATGCAAGGATCTTTGTAAGTTTGATCAGAAATTATAAATACATGAGCTTTGATGTGTCTTTCACTTTCATTGAAAATATTAGTCTGCATAACGAAAGTTTTTTTGTCGTTTCGTGGCATTTGCACTATCAATGTATTAAAATATCCTTTTTCTGTCCTGTAGTTTAGTTGAAGAGCTTCATGATAATGCCTTTAGAGCTCAGATTGTCAGTTTTTTTTTTTTTTTTTTTTTTTTTTTTTTTTTTTTTTTTTTTTTTTTTTTTTT